TCCCTCTAGATCAGTGGCTCCCAACCTTTTCCAGATGGGGACCCATTTTGACAATTCAGGAAGACTTGATGACCCAAGGCAATTCAAAAACGGGGGGAGAAGGGAGGGCAGAGCCACCTGGGGAGATATTTAGCAACCCTTTTGAAATGTAATGGTGACCCATAGGTTGGGAAACCCTGCTCTAGATCCCTTACTAGATCTAGATCCAAGCTGAAGTCTGTTGGGATCTTGCTTCTGGTTACTTCTTGATACAGGTTGAACCTAACCCATAAGAGCGGCAACACCGGGTCAGACCAAAGGTCCCTCTAGCCCAATATCCTGTCTGCCGACAGCATTCAATGAACAGAACAGGGAATCAAGTGACCCCTCTCAGTCACCCATTCCCAGCTTTTGGCAAACATCTCTAGTGCCACAGCCTCAAGACATGATGGGTGCTGAACCAGAGAATGTGCCGAATCCCGGGAGGTCAATATGATCATGAGTGGATCTCTTTATTTTGCCAAGGTGAATAAACGGAACAATTTTTGCAGTGCTGCTTAATAATATATGGATGTACTGTTCCAGCCTACATGAGCCTATGCCAAGCTGACTCATAGACTTTAAGGTCAGAAGGGACCATTATGATCATCTAGTCTGACCCCCTGTACAGTGCAGGCCACAGAATCTCACCCACCCCTCTTAGAATAATCCTCTCACCTATGTCTCAGATATTGAAGCCTTCAAATACTTTGAAGGCCCCAACATGCAGAGAATCCTCCAGCTGTGATCTGTGCCTCATGCTACAGAGGAAGGCGAAAAACCTCCAGGGTCTCTGCCAATCTACCCTGGAGGAAAATTCCTTCCCGACCCCAAATATGGCGATCAGCTAAACCCTGAGCATGTGGTCAAGACTCACCAGCCAGACACCCAGAAAGTTCTCTTGTCAGCTCTCTGCATAACAAAGTATTATTGTTGCTGCACAGTTTTACTGTATTGGCCCAAGGATATAAGTAGAGAAAGCATAAAAAACATTACCAGCCCTTTCATGGTTTGCTGGGCTCCGAGAAAACAGTTAGGGTTAATGTAGAGAGAAATAACGGCACAGAACACCGAGAGCCAGGACTGTGGCTGTAAACAAACTTTATGGGACAGTGGAAAATGTGGCCACACTTACAACGAGTAGACTTCTGGCTAATTAAGACCATGCCAGACTTCAGATGTTGCCAGACCAGAGAGTGCCAGATTAGAGAGTTTCAACCTGTATATCTGAATTGGAGCAGGGCATAGTCCTGCCTATAGAAAAAGTTTCTCACATCATCCATCTCTTGGACCATCTTTAGGATGAGGCATAGAACTGATGCCCTGAACATTTTGGAAGGGGCACTGATTTTATCGGGGACTGCAGGCAATGTTCCCTCTAATTTTTTCCACCCTTGTGCGAAATAAATTGTGTTATGTGCACCCAGGCATGTGCAGGTGTGCACCAAACGTAGAAACACATACTGCTGGCTGTGGGCACTGGGAGCGCTCTGCTAATCAGCTGAAGTTGCGTGGTGCTCTCTGTTCAACAGATGCCATCTTCCACCCCAGAGGTGGCTGCATGGCAGCCTTTCACTCCTTCGCGGTTTGTTGTGATGCTTAATTAATTAATGCTGAGCACTTCTGAAGTCCTAAACATTATTTATTCATGTTGTTATTCCCTATTGAGCATAATGTTTGATGTCCACGATCTAGAGGTTAGCCGGCTGCCTCCTTCCATCTGTGTAAAATTTCTCTGAGTGTAGGAAGAGGAGAGCTGTCAATGCTCCAAGGAAAAGGCTACACAGAAGAAGTTATTTACCGTGCTCAACAACAACCTTATTGAACATGCAGACCTGAGAAGAACACAACATGCCCTGTACTCCCATGCCAATAGATGGTGATTTTTATAGACACTAACGCTCTGCAAAAGTGCAGGTGCCACATTCATGGTCTAGAAATCTCAGAATAGAATAGAATTCAGTCAAGGCTGCACAGAGCAGTCTCCAGAGACTGTGGTTTTGGACAAATAGGCGATCTGTCCCATATCTTAGTGCTCACCCGAGCCCTGCTCGCAGTCTGCCAATAACACCAGCCTTGAGCACCCGCTTTTACCCCAAGCATCTCTGTGCTGCCTCCCACAAGGCCCCTGGTGGGTAAGAAGAAGTTCCCCATGGAAATACAACCACCATCTTATCCCCCTTCAAAACCCTCCTCAGAACTCACCTCTATTGCAATGCACGCAGAAAGCTGCTATCTCTCACAGTTGCTGTGACAGGTGAGGCAGTGTAGCCTAGCAGACAGTGCACTGGACCAAGCATTAGGAGACCCAAGTTTTATTTCTGGCTCTGCCATTGGCCTGGTGGATGACCTGAGGCAAGTTGTTTCACCGCTCAGTGCCTCAGTTTCCCCATTTGGTGTAATGGGATTAGGGCTTCCCTCCTGAGAGTTAGGTGGTGTTATTGTGATGGCTACTGATTGTCTTACAGCTGCGCCCAGAGCTATGCTGTGCTAAAACATCCCATTGCATTTGTTACCCATCTTCCTCTGTACTTTTTAGTCTTGTCTACCTGATATGTCTAACCTTGAAGCATGTAAGTGATTAAGAATACAGAGTGTCATTTTGCTGCATGTTTGTACAGCCTCTAGCTCGGTAGGGTACTGACCTTCTAGATGCTACACCGATATAAATGTTAAACAATAAAAATGCCTGTGCAGATTCCAGTGATCTATTAACATTTTGCTACATGTACTTTTTAAGTTGTATTAGTTAACATTTAGGGAAAGGGTTGCACGGCACCTCAAATTTTTGTTTCAGACATGAGGCCAGGTATATCTACTGCGGTAAGGGAAGGGTCACATGACTCAGAGAGAGGGTGACATGCCAAAAATGTGGAGGCTACATTTAGATAAAGATTTGGGTGTGATTCGGAACCACATCCAAAACCTGCTGAGGCGCTCTTTGCAGCTGTGCAAAGTCATGGGCCGGAGGGATGGGGCGGGAGTGTCAGACACTCATTGATCAGTGGCATTAGGCAGTGAGATTCCAAAAGTTAAAGCTTTATAACCATTAAAACACAAGTTGCCAACGTCACATGTGGAAACACACAAAGTAAATATCTTGAAAGCAAACTCCAAGTGCTCCAGCAGCATTTTTCTTACTTTTCCTGTCTGTGAATTTCACTGATCATCAATAGGAAATATTTTTGTCATTGGGGGTGTGTGTGATAAAATCGACATTTCCCAGTAAAAATCCAATTCTCCTGAGCTGAGGTATCCAGGTCAGGCAACGTTGCCACTGTAGTGACCCTAGAATGTATGTCATTTTTCTGGAGTTTAATAAATTACAAGCAATTCAGCTAAAGATTGATCTGAGTTTGGGGGGAAAGTATGGGCTAGTTCTGATGTTCCCTAGTCGCCATGCCTGTTAATAGAGCATGAGTGTTGTGTGTGTGCTGGGAAAATGTCTTTGTACCTTAGTTCAGTGGTAACAGCAGTAGGTGGGGTTTTGAAGACCTCCGGGTAACTTTTCCCCTATGGAGAAGACCAACACTAGCCCTCTTAAGTCTCATTAAAACGCCTTACAATGGGATTGAATGATACTTCCAGAATGCATAGACCTGGAGCAGGGCCTGTGAAGTGAAGAGAATTTCACCCACTATGATTTTACTCCTTTCTGAAGTTCATCTGCTCATGTTGAAGTTCATTTGGCCCCTCCAGGCTGTAGCTATTTTCCATCATGCATACAGCTGGGCAGAGGAGTCAGTAGGGTTTTGGATACAGATTTAGGGCCTCCTGTCACCCTCCACTCTTGTTACCTAAAATGGTTCCTGAGGTGCTGAGTCCTTTGCAGGCCTGGGCCCCTTTGAACAAAAGAAAAAGCTGCATCGCGTCAAGCCAGGCTCATATGAGTCATCTCTGCTCATGGGAGCAGCTTGCAATAACATAGCGGGAAATCATTGCTCACACGAGTAAAACTTTGCAGGGTCGGGCTTCAAAACTGTGTCCTTAGAAAGTCCTTTCCCATCTTCCCAGGATGGAAATGTGCAAATTGCTTTATACTCAAAGAGGCAAATCATCCACTGTTGCAAGTCCAAAGAAGTCACGGGAACAATAGCATTTCCCACCAGCGGTGCTCAGCGGCTACAAAGCAATGTTTCAAAAACAAAGCCAGCTGTTTACTTGGTGGGACACGATATCACTTCCCCTCTCCCACCGGGTAACACCTCTCTCAGAAGTCCCATTGACTTCAGTGGGATCACTCGTGGTTTAAAATACTATCCAATAATCATCGGGGTATCAAAAACTAACCATATACAGGCAGTCCCCGGGTTACATGGATCCGACTTACATCGGATCCCTACTTACAAACGGGGTGAGGAAACCCCGCACTAGCTGCTTCCCCCCAGCAGACCAGGGAGACGCGAAGCTAGCGCCCCCCCCCAAGCAGACCAGGTAGCGGCTTTTCTCAGCAGACACCTCAGCTTGAGAATAAAGGACTGAGGGAAGTGAGGTGTGGGAGAATAAAACTGAGCTCTGGAAAAATGTTTGGCTAGAGTTTCCCCTACAATATGTACCAGTTCCAACTTACATACAAATTCAACTTAAGAACAAACCTACAGTCCCTATCTTGTACGTAACCCGGGGACTGCCTGTAGAGTGAAATTCTGAACCCATCAAAAGCAACGGTCAAATTCCCACTGACTTCAGTAAAGGCCCCTATATTTTCAGCGGTTTGGTCCATAAAGCAAGCAAAACATTACGTTCCTATTGTGTGAAGTCTTTATATTACAGGGAAAATAAAAATCAGGGCTCTTCCCCTTAGAGCCACCCAGCAAAGCTTAGTTTGGCCTTAATTTTAAAAGCAATACGACCAGTATCTTTCTCCAAAAGACAATCCAGCTTCCCAGTCCTGGGGCTATATATTGGGTAACTGTTTCTAATACATTCTATGTGACTGAGGGTTTTTTTTAAATGCTAATTTTGTCACTGTTTGATTCCAGATGAGTTTAGAAAATGATGATAAGAGAGCACGCACACGATCAAAGTCTATCCGAGGTGAGCCGTTTATTCTCCTCCTGTGTGGAATTACATTCATTGGTTAAATCTGGGGTTAATGGGCTCTGGTTTTTCCAAGCGGGCCTCTCATTTCAAATCCAGCATCCCAGTCTTTCAAGTTTTTAACCACGGCTTCACCACAACCCAGGAGGTCTGGTCACCAAAACAGCTCCAGCAACACTTACAGCCCCGCATAGTGTCTAACCTTCTTCCCCCACCCCCCTCAAAAATCTGTTCCATGCTTGGTTCCATAGGAATCGTGATAACCTCAGCTCAGTTCCAGAGGCTTTCATCATGAATGCTTTGCTAGAGGCTTTGAAGTTGAACATCTGAGAGTGCCTGGCAGAAGCTGTACATGCCTCAGAAGCAAACAAGCGATCTCATGGCAGGGACTTGAGGACAAATGATTTGTTAATTCAAAGCCTGATTGTTATTTATTTCCCAGCTTTCCAAAAGAATGTATATTTCATCCTCTCGATGCCTTCCCCTAACCCCACAAAGGTGCTGTAATCTATATTTCAGGGTGTAAACTCATATCCAGATCTCTGATAGCCTAGATGATGATTTACAGTGACAGATTCACCTCTGAATGTATTTGTTCTCTTTTCTGTGTCTGTGGATTTGATGCATTTCAAAGGTCACTGAAAGGGAAGGCCTAATAGCACTGGCTTAAATGCAAGGTAATGTGTGAAAGTAACGTATTAATGTCAGCCATGTAGCCAGGCCATTGTACCTCACTGCTACTGACCCTACATCATTCTCCTCCTAGGCATCTGCATCACTCGGGAACCAGATACAGCCATTTGTGCTGTTTTGTGCCACCTTATGTGGTAGATCTTGTGATCTATGTAGTGCTCATTAAGGGCTATAATGAGATCAGCCTGATTCTGCTTGTTTTCTTACCTTAAACCTGCCTTGAACACACTGAAACCTGTCTCCTGCTATGCAAAGATAATTTCTTGGCTACACCATGCTACTCACGGTTGCCGCTAGTTTGCTGGAGTTTGTGAGTCACTCCATTGAGCTTTGGATCCCCCAGAAACACAATTAGCTCAAACAAATTGGGCAGCTGTGTTATGCCTTTTTAGCCTGTGCCATATAGCAAGCTTCTTTTTATTTTCTTTTTTTTCGTGTTTTTTTGTTGATGTTTTTCCTGCCTGTTTTGATTCCTGATTGGACATGAGGTTTTCCGTAAAGATGACGTGCTGTCATCTGTACTATTCAGAAATGAAGACACGCCCCTACGAATCTGGGGCCTGCGCTGTTGTTACGAAAGGGATTACAATGAGAAACTAAAAGAAGGCCAACGTAGAAAACCGTTTGAAATGCAGATGAACTGCCAAACACCTGAAGAGACATGAGACAATTCAGTCGGTTCCCTTACATCAGCAGCACCCAACCTTTTCCAGATGGGGACCCATTTTGACAATTCAGGAAGACTTGGTGACCCAAGACAATTCAAAAACGGGGGGAAGAGGGAGGGCAGAGCCACCTGGGGAGACACTTGGCGACCCTTTTGAAATGTAATGGTGACCCATATTTGGGTCCTGACGCATAGCTTGGGAAACTCTGCTTTACATGTAAGTGTCCACATCCTGAAGTGGTTTAAATCCATGTAGCTCCATTGACTTCAATATTGCCATGCTAGTTTACACCAGCTAAGAGTTCGTCTTCGGGTGGGGGAAGTGTCTCTGTGTCTGTCTACATGGAGATGTAGGCCCCTCCCCTGGAAACACAACATGCTTAATTGTAACAAGAGTTAAGCATATGTGGACGCATTAGCAGGCTGCAGAGCGTTCATGCTTTTCTGTTCACTCTGTAGCCTGGCCCATTTTATGACCTAGGATGATTTAGCTCAGCAGTGGTGGAGGAATCTGTGCTTTTGCTGACGACTTTGTGTTTGTTTCCCCTCTTGTTTGCTGCCCCTTCACTCAGTGCCCACGGAACTCATCGGACAGGAGGTGAGGTAAGAAAAGTTTCTTCTCAACTCCATCGTGTGGGGAGGGACGGGCATTCTGGCATATCCCTTAGGGCAATAGACGCATTAGGTGGGACAAACCTATTACTAGGCCCGACCGTAACTCTTACTGCAGCCCCTTCTTCCGCCCCTCCGACTTGGCGAGACCCATTTTATAGTGATAGAGAAGGGTAAGAAAAACGAGCAGGACTTCAGCTGTGTTACCGCTTCCCACACATCTTGGGTACGTCTAAACTACATGCCTCCGTCGACGGAGGCATGTAGTTTAGACGTACCCAAGATGTGTGGGAAGCGGTAACACAGCTGAAGTCCTGCTCGTTTTTCTTACCCTTCTCTATCACTATAAAATGGGCATTTCTTGATCGGCACACGTAAACCTGGTGGATCCTTCAGGTTCTAGCAGCTGAAAACAGAAAGGGGGAGTTCTCACTGAACCAGTTTAAGGGGGGGCAATACGGGAGCACTGCTTACCCACACCAGGCTGCCCTCTGCCCTTCCCCATTCCCACTTACTTTAATGGCAGGGAAGCCCCGATGGAATTAAATTGACCCATCCGGTGTTTACCATCCATGATGTCCCATCCTCCCACCCCCATACACATCATGTGCAGTGTACAGAGGGCTGAGGCCAGGAGGCAGCTCTGATAGGGATGAGCAGAAGCCCTCTCTGGGTAGCAGGGAAGCCCCCAGAGGACTAGTAGAGCAGCCCCATGACGGCCACATTGCTAGGCCCCATTCCAGCCCATCACCAGTTCCAGAAGCAGAGGCGGCGAAACAATGCCCTGGGTCTCCTCTCTCAGGGTGGTACCAAGGGCGAGCTCAGCCAAGGAGCCAGCTCTCACAGGGAATGGCAGCCTTAAATAATGGCATTTGAAGAAGCAGCCTCAGGTATAATGCAAATGCCATGCCCACCTATTAGCCAGGATGGGTAGGGATGGTGTCAGCTCAGACAGAAGCTGGGAATGGGCGACGGGGGATGGATCACCGGGTGATTCCCTGTTCTATTCATTCCCGCTGGGGCACCTGGCATTGGCCACTGTTCGGAGACAGACTATTAGGCTAGATGGACCTTTGGTCTGACCCAGTATGGCCGTTCTTATGTCCCTTTCTGCCTCTTGTGTCCTTCCCCTGCTCCCATTCCTGGATCATTCTCTGGTTCCCTCCTGGTCTCATCACTCCTGTCCTCCCCATCCATGCCCCTGGTCTTTCTCTCTCCTTTCGCCCTCTCCCCCAACCCCACAGACTGGATTTTAAAATTATAGAGCCCAACAGCTACCAGATAAGATGTTCCATTGGTACAGACCTGATGCCACACCCCCAGGCAGCCTGGCTGCCCCCTAGCCAGATGACTGAGATGTTCAGGGCATGGTCTTGGTCATTTGGCCGTAGCTTCCACGCTAGCACCTGCAAGAGACCAACCTGGAGCAAACCTCTGCAGTCTTACAAAGCTTTTTATTATAACTCCCAGACACCTGCATCTCTCAGATCTCTGAAAAGCTGACACAAGTCCTTTTACAAGAGGAGGATTCCCTAACCTGGCCACGTGCTTGTGGCAGGGGCTGCGTTTCCATGTGCCCTCTCTTAGAGAGCTTTCCATGTCAAAAGAGTAATTGGACCTTAACTGTCACCGTTTCCTAGTATTTCTGCTCCTCCACTCTGCTATGACTCCTGGGAGACCAGCCGGGGGAACGCTGGGCATTCCGCTTCCCTAACTTTTATTGCTGAGCACTTGAGCGGAGGTGGTAATTGAAGCAGGTGACATATTTCAGGGGCAGCCCAGAGAGCGCCGCACCGCCATCTCTGCAGCTGTCCCCTAATTGCCTGATTAACTGGGCGATTAATCGACTAATTGGGAGCGAGGCAGCGTCTGCATGACAATAAGGAGGCTTTTGTGAAAGTATTAATGCTTTTGAGAAGGAGCGCAGGAGAGAGAAATGGGTGAATGCTGCAAAGAAGGGGAGCCATTAACAAACCACAGAGCCCAGTGCCACTCACGACTGTAAGAAATTTCCCTCTCAAGGTCTTAGGCCCAGATAAAATGACCCGGCATTCCCGAAAGCACTGAGCACCCCTGCTCTGGCTCTTGGACATCTCTGAAGTTGTCGAAAGCTAAGCACCAAAAACAGATATCAGAAATCACCAGTCACTTCAGATGCGTTGGCTCAGAGCCTTTGGGTGATTTTTTTTTTTAACCACGGGCTGTAATTCACTGCCTTAAGAGGGACTCAGCCTTAATGGATTCAGCAGAGTTTAGAAATGCCCGTAATGTCTTCGTGAGAGCGGCTCTTGTTGCGCACTAAATTCACCTTTTCTTGTCCCAGGCAGGTCATTGCTAGCCTAAACACTGCTCCCCGTCTCTGGGTGCAGTCACTTTGTCTGGGGCTGGTCAGAGCAGAGCGATCGCAGTCACGACTGAAGGCAATTAAAATTAAATAGACCTTCAGCTCATCAGTAAAGAGGGTGGGGGGAACGCTTGTCCAATTATGCACGTTAGCCTGGAGAGATCTTCTTATGAATGACCTCAAGCATGTCACTTGGAAGAGTCCTCTGAGTTGCCACTTCCCCTCATGGGAAGAACCCCGGGAAAGGCACAGTTTGCATGGAGTGTACGCGCTGTCAAAAGCCAGGGGGCAAAAGAGGACACGGCACGTCCTCCCAGTTGATTGCGTGAGGTAAAGGAAGACCGTGACCTCCTCTCTAAAGCAGGTCACAAGTGAGTTTATTGCACAAGGCAGCCCGGGGGTTTCAGTGTCACAAGGACAGGTAGCAGAACCAGCAGGGTTTGGAGATGAGAAAGCTCTAGGCCTACGCAAGGATCACACTGGGGTTCTGTGTGGCCCACATGAGACATTTTGTTTACTGTTGCCCATGGGCAGGGTTGCCATATTCTGCTGGCTTCCGTCAGCACAGGGTCCCCTCCCACACACTGGTATTACTAAAGCAACATAGCACACACCTCCCTTGACGTGCCCTTGCTGTGAGTGCGCACAACATTGATTGTGAGAGCCGGGCGCACCCTCTGCAACTCACCCAAGCACTGCTATGGTTCCATCGGCACCACCCGCACAATCTAGGTCCATCAGCGCTGTGAGCAACACTGCCCTGGCCCGGGAGACCGTCTTGGCTATGACAATCGGGTGGCCCACTGAGATGAAGAGGGCCATCCATGCGGCCCACTCACTAGCCTAGGTTGCCCCTCACTAGTCTGGGCTCTCACTGGGGTAGTTTAATGCTTCTATTCTCCTAGGCCCTGAATTTTGGTCAGCAAAGCCCTTCACCTCATCAGCTTCCATCTGGACGTTGGCCAGGAGTCAACCATAGTAACTGCAGTTGAGCGCCTGGCTCAGCCGGGCTAGTTCATAGGAACACCCGTGGGTGGGAGAGAGAGCAGGATCCTGAAGATTTGCTGCAGTTTCAGCAGCCAGCAGGTGGCAAGGGCCTAGCACAGGGCACACTGCACATGAGCAGCAGGACGCGGGTGTCCCCTGCCGTTTACTCCCTGCCGCGACAGCTACGAGTTATGAGATCGCTGTGCATTCAGGGGAAAATCCCCTGGAAATTGCATCTCGGGGCCGGAAATGGGTAAGAGAGTTAAGAAACCCGCCAGGCCCGTCCGAAAGTGAGCAGGCCACATCTCGGGTGGCCAGGCTGGGTCTGCAGCCAAGGGCAGTACCCAAAGCCGCACGTACGTACATCAGGCAAACTGTCCAAGGCTGCTTTTCAGCATCTGGACCCCCCACTAATTCCTGGAGACTGGGCTCTTTGCGGTGGGTTACCAATTCAGAGGAGCTTTGCGACACAGCATATACCACTTCCGTCTGTGTTAAGGGCTGTAAAGGTCATGAGTAGTGCGTAGGGCTTCTCGAGGCCTTTGCTCTGAGGTTGGCTGGTCTGCTGAGAAGTAGCCAGGGCAGGAGAGCAACTGAGTTTTGCCCCACATGCTCTGGCTCCTAGCATCAAAGGCAGGCTTCCCACATCCACTGCTCAACCTGGCCTTCTCAGTAGGCCCCCCCATCCTCAGCATCCTCAACCAATGCTCGTCCGACAAGCCATACAAAGAAATAAAAAAAGCCATGATTTATTTTCTGCCCTAGTAAAACAATCCAACCAACCAACCAACCAATGCTAAACCGGGGCTGTGGGAGGCAGGGTACAGTCGTTGTCTGTTGTTTAAAGGCTTGCTTTTACACATGCAAATCTTTAATTAAACATACTCATAAAACTATAATGAACCGTTCATTTAATTAAATGGGGTGAGTCATTTCATTAATTTTTAGCAAACTGCAAAGCTGCCATCCTGCCCTCCTTGCTTGGAATTCAAAGGGATGAAATGAACTGTTTAAAGGAAATTATCTTCCCGTTTGCGGGTTTTGTTCCTTCTGCTCAGATTCTTTTTAACTCTCTATAGTTTACATGCTTTAATTAAAATGCATTCTCCAAGTCATCACTATTCTTGTTGGTTGGTTGTTTCCCCTTCAAGCTGCCCTACCCCGGGATGTAATGGCTCAGGACACATCCGTGGGAAGTATGCAAGACACAGAAGGTAAGATTTGGTCTGGAGGATTTCCAGTCTGAGGATCCTGAATGCCAGTGGTAGACAGATGTAAGACTCAAGACAGACTGATCTATTAGCACCCGATCCAGTTCCACTGACTTCAAGGGGAGTTGAATCAGGTCCTAAATAAGTTTCCCTAACATCATGACTGATGCAGAAAGGAGGAGGCTGTGTTGCTAGAGGGTATAAATTCTGCTGAGATGTCTTCAGGACGAGTACTTGGTCTGCTTAGCAGGGAGATATGGGGGGAGGGGGAGGGAAATAACATTTTGCTGGCTGCCTGGAGTCCATTTTTTTTTTGCTAACAGATTTTTCATCCATTCATTACTATACAGATCTGGACTCTTGGTGCCCATGAGTTAAATATGCCACAATGGCTGGGCATCTAGTTTTACAGCTACCAGCAACCAACAGTGCCCAGGTTGGAAACAACCGGTGTGGAAAAAGTGAATAAAGAAGAGTTATTTACTCCTTCCCATAACACAAGAACTACAAGTCACCACATGAAATGAATAGGTAGCATGTTTAAAATAAACAAAAGGGAGGACTTTTTCAGTCAACCTGCGGAACTCCTTGCCAGAGGATGTTGTGAAGGCCAAGACTATAACAGGGTTAAAAAAGAGCTAGCTAAATCCACGGAGGTTAGGTCCATCAATGGCTATTAGTCAGAATAAGTAGGAATGATGCTCATAGCCTTTGTATGTAAGAAGCTGAGAATGGGTGACGGGCCGGATCACTTAATGATTTCCTGTTCTGTTCGCTCCCTCTGGGGCGTCTGGCATTGGCCACTGTTGGAAGACAGGATACTGGGCTAGAAGGACCTTTGGTCTGACCCAGTGTGGTCGTTCTTATGCTCTTAAATATAAGATGCCATCAGACTAAATGTTTTTACCCAGTCAGGCAAACTCCCAATGACCACTGAGCAAAGAAGTAGGTGCTGGCTTATTAATAGGTGAGCTTCTTTAGAGAAGAGTGAAAAAGAATGACCTCAGTCAACAGCACTATGAGACTGTAACCCAGCTGCAGGTACAGCCCTCTCTATGCATTCCCCAAAGTTAGCCCATTTCTCTTCAGTCCTTAAAGGACTTTTAAAAACCCCTTGCTTCAATTAATAAAACAGCCATTTGTGAGGGTCTCTCTCAGACGTACCTCCCTCATCTTGCAATAAGTCGTCTTTTCCTCTAGTTTACAAAGCTGCCCTCTAGCCAAGAAGAGGAAACTTCAGGATGCTGAGGCCGAGCACCTGGTGTCCAAGAGAAAATCCCACCCCCTCAAGCTGGCCCTTGACGAAGGCTACAACGTCGACAGCGATGGGAGCGAGGAGACGGAGGTGAAGGAGGAGTCCGTCAGCGACGAATCGGAGGGGACTTTGGAGGAGGAAGAAGCAGAAACGATAGAGCAGGAGGAGACCCACAGCCCTGAGCCAGCAGAAGGTGCTTTATGATTATTGATTACACAGTTTCTTTTACCGATGGACAAAGGGCAGAGAGTGTTAATAATGAAGAGTTATAACACCTCTAAATTACATCTAGGAAGGGTTTTTCCACTGTAATATTCCATGGAAGAATAGCAGAAGAGCCCTGTTTAATCTGAGAAGGGCTGTTCCTGGCTATGGTGGTCACAGTTTGTCTCCAACGTCTTTAAAAATAAGAGTTTTCCCCTCCATGATCATTCCTGGGACAGGAACTATGTCAAGTTCAAAAGGCCTTCTCTGTGTGGCTCTATAAGTAGAGCAATTGGAAAGGCAGCCTGGAGTCTTAGAGCCTGATTAAGACACACGTTGGGTATGTCTAGACTACATGCCTCTGCTGACGGAGGCATGTAAATTAGACATACCAACATAGTCAATGAAGTGGGGATTTAAATATCCCCCGCTTCATTAGAATAAAAATGGCCGCCACGTTGTGCCGGCTCAGCTGTTTGTCGACACAAACCGGCAGTCAAGACGGGGATCAGTCGACAAGGAAAGCCTTTGCCAACTGATCCTGTAAACCTTGTTTCACGAGGCATAAGGGATCGGTCGTCAAAGGCTTTCCTCGTCGACCAGTCCCCTGCCCTCATGGCAGGACCCAGCACCATCTAGACCATCCCTGATAGATGTCTATCCAACCTGCTCTTAAATATCTCCAGTGATGGAGATTCCACAACCTCTCTAGGCAACTTATTCCAGTGTTTAACCACCCTGACAGTTAGGAAGTTTTTCCTAATGTCCAACCTAAACTTCCCTTGCTGCAGTTTAAGGCCATCATGTCGTGGCCTATCCTCAGAGGCCAAGGAGAACAATTGTGTCTTGGCCTATCCTCAGAGGTCAAGGAGAACAATCCCACCCTCCTTCCCTGTGACACCCGTTTAGATACCTGAAAACTGCTACCATGTCCTCTCTCAGTCATCTGCTTTCCAAATTAAACAAGCCCAGTTCTTTCAGTCTTCCCTCATAGGTCATGTTCTCTAGAACTGGACACAACGTGTAGGCACGGGGCACGGGGTTTGAACCAGCTGGGATTTAAAAATGGTGGCACCCGGCTTATGCAAATGAAGCCCGGGAAATTCAAATCCCGGGCTTCATTTAAAAGTGCGGTATGCCTACATTACCCTCCTATTTCGAAATAGGAGGGTAGTGTAGACATACCCTCAGTCATCTCCTTTCCAAACTAAACAAGCCCAACTCTGAGCTTATAATTTTTTCCCCTCTTTCTCTTTGCAGTAAGAAGCCCAGCAAAATCATCACACTACGGACATAATGCAGCCACCAATACACCTGGCCCTAGCAAGGCTAATTACAGCAGCTATCAAGAAATCATTGCCAATTCTCTCCTAAATCTTGGCCAAATAGCAGAAGAAACCCTTGCAATAGAGGGGCAGCTGCCTGAAAATGAGCTGCAGGTCGCCAAGCCTCCAGTTAATGTTGTGCACCTGGTCCATGAAGGGATAGAAGAAGAGGTGGTTGAGGAGGCAGGTGACAAGGAGATTATCATCCAAACCGAGGATGCGGAGGAGGTCATCGAGGTCGCTAGCGAACGGAGCAGTGAATTGTGTCCGGAGCATCAGGATGATATGAGCTGTGAGGAGTCCTGCAAGTTGGAGAAGGGCATTCAGGCAGAAGCAGAAGAAGAGGAGGAAGAAGAAGAGGAAGAGGAGGAAGAGGAGGAGGAAGAAGAAGAGGATGAAGACGAGGAGGATGAGGACGAGGAAGAGGACGAAGAGGAGGAGATGGCACCTGAAGTGATCTGTGAAGAAACTCCTCAGACGTCTCAGGACTCCCACAAAACCCCACCTGAATACTCGGTCATCGTGGAAGTCAGGTCAGATGATGACAAAGATGACGATGCTCGCTCCCAGAAATCCGCCGTGACCGACGAGTCCGAAATGTATGACATGATGACCAGAGGGAACCTGGGGCTGCTGGAGCAGGCCATTGCCCTCAAAGCCGAGCAGGTGAAGATCACGAGGGAGCCCAGCCGCCTGCCAGGGGAGCACACAAAGCATTTCCAGGGGGACGAGAAACAAAACAAACCTTTGGACACCATCAGAAAAAACTACTACAGCAAAGGTGGAGTATCTGAACAAGCTTCCATGTATCCTTTTCTTCCCCAACAGCCTTGCGCTATGGAAGTATCTGAGCTTCACTGCTAAGTGTCCCATGGAAACTAGATGGTTGTGGATTTTCAAGCTCAGCTAGAACATCGAGTCATGCCATTCCTATTATTCTCAGGGGAATTGCTTGGCTAGTCCACTAGCTGGCTTTGAAAATCTGAATCTGTACCACTAAGAAAGAAATAGCAAAAAAAAAAAAAAAATGCAGAGTGGATAATCCAGGAGTCTACAGGTTGAACCTCACTGGTTTGGCATGCTCTGGTCTGGCAACATCCATGCTGGATTTTAGTTAGCCCAATGTCCACGTATCATGGGTATGGCCAAGTTTCCCGTGGTCCCATCACGTTTGCTTACAGCCCCCAGACCTGACTCTGTGTTCAGTGCTTGTTGTTTAGCTCTAATTTACTCCTAACTGTCTTCTAAGAGCCCAGTAAGCAGTGGACGTGTTGGCAATGCTGCTAGATGATATTGACCTCCCATGGTTCAGCAAATTCTCTGATTTAGCATCCGTCAGGTCCTGAGTATGCCGGACTAGAGAAGTTCAACCTGTATTTTTATTCATTTAATTTCATTCCATTTATTAAAATGTTCCCACCCAGTCTTTTGCCTATATAATCTGTCCAGTGACAATTAAGACCAAAATCCATAAGCAAGGGCCCTCCAAAATAAACTCAGACCAAAATCTTTACAGTCAATGCCACCCTTCTACTCATTCCTCCCAGTCTAGAAAAAGTCTGAGACACCAGATACTATGGACCTTCGAGCCTGATATTAATGTTGTTTGGGCACTGAGTAATAGATAAGTAGAGGCCTTCTCCCTGGGGCCATGATGTACATGATGAATAAACACATGGAGAAAGTTCCATCAATATCCTCAGTTTCATCAGACTCTCTGATCAGCATCCGTTTACTTTTAAATATATTTTTTAACTAAAACAAAAAAAGAAAAGCAGTAACCCAAAACCATTTGATTCCAAATGCCCCTCTTCTCCTGAGAGTTTGTCATCCTCTTTCCTAGCACAGGGCAGATTTTTTTTTTTTAAAGGGTGGGTATATTTGTAAATGTTTCTCCCTTTTTCATTTTTGAAATTAAAAATTGTAACTATTTTTGAAATTGAAACCCAAACAAATGCACCGGTTTGATCCATTTCCATATGAAAATGGACTGAAAACGTTCATAAATAATTTCATTTAACATGTTCCCAATGTAGGAATTCATTGTCTACTTTTCAAATGTCAAAAGTATTAAATCTGGGGGAAAATGTCAACCCCTGCTGCCTAGATCTTGAATGAGACTATCAAGCGGAAAACGAATGCATTTCACACAGTTTTTACTATGTCTTACTGGAGTCTGCTTTCTGCAGGAAGTACTCGCCAGGAAGTGGGCAGGCCTATAGAAACTGAAACCTGGCCTAAAATCAATAACTTGGTTTGGTGTGGCTCTGTCCATGATTGAAGATAAGCCAATGGGATGATCCTGGCATAATTCTTAGATGACCTCACTGGCCTGATATAGCACAGTTAGGGATACGCTTTCAGTCCCGCTAAGCATGGCCTCCTTTTTTGTATCCACCTGCCAAAACTGCACCTAGGGTTGCCAGCTGTCCGGTATTGACCCGGACAGTTCAGTATTTTCGCCTCCTGTCCAGTAAAAAAATTCAGGAAATACCAGACACCTAAAATGTCCAGTATTTTCTGATTTTTTTTTTCCCCCAGCCAGGAGACGAAAATCCTGGGCTATCCAGCTCAATATGGAGGCAGCCTGGCTTACTGGGGAGCTGTCCAGCCTCGTGCAGAGAGGCAAAAAGCTTCACCATGCGTTTCTTAAAGGGGACACACTGGGTTTGTTTGTTTGTTTGTTTGCTTAACAACTCTCGAGGTCTTTTTTTTTTGGTATTTTTTCTGAAACCATTTAGCAATCCTAACTGCATCTCTACTTTTAAACCCACAAAAATGTAATTGGGTATGCAAATCAGATCTTTGCATCCGTAGCTACCTGATTTACACCAACAATCAGTGTGAATATTCAACCTCGGACTCTCACTCGGACAGGGGCAAACATGCCTGGAAATGTTGACAATAAACTTTCACAACAGGGCTGTACAGTAGCCCCTTTTCTTTACTCCGGTTACTCATTATTTCTACCCAATTGCTGCCCTTTTCATGGGTCATATTTTTCCCACTTCCCTTCCCCATGTTTCCTAGATCCCTCAAGACCTGAGAAGCGAGAGATCAAATGCCCAACTCCAGGTTGTGATGGCACCGGTCATGTCACAGGGCTCTACCCTCACCACCGCAGTCTGTCTGGTTGCCCACACAAAGACAGGATCCCACCAGAGAGTGAGTATGCCATGGGGACTTCCACACTGCAGAAAAAGGGCAGCCAAAAGTGGGGTGCTCAGGCACTGAGCTTACTTGCATCGTGGGGCACTTCTGCATTGCAGCATTGAATGGGAATGGTTGCTTGTCTAGAGGTAGCCACACTAGATGTACTCTACCTAGTCCATCCAAAGTAGAAGTGAGGACACAGTGGCAAGGGCTTCAGAGCTGGCTGCACAAGTGTGTCCCCGTGCAGGGGGGCAGGCAGATTTGTGCAGCTCATCCTGCAGCAGCCGTACTTTATTGGGCTAGCTGGAGTACAGCTAATGCGGGTCCATCTGCACAGTTTGCCATTTCCATTCTTAGGTGCACTATAGACCAGCGGTTTTCAAACTACAGGTCGCAACCCAGCACTGGGTGGTGGAATGTCGGGCACTGGGTCTCATTGCTGCAAGGGGATCAGGTGAGCAGTGGGGGGGCTAAGGCAGCGACCTGCCTGTCCTGGCACCGCAGACTGCGCTGTGCCCCAGAAGTGGCCGGCAGCAGGCCCCGCTCATAGGAGGGGGGAGAGCGCACAGGGCTCCATGCACTGAGCACTAACTCCGCACTCCCATTGGCTGGGAACCTGCTGCTGGCTGCTTCTGGGGCACAAAATGATCAGTGGTGCCAGGAGAACAGCCTTAGCACCCCTGCTGCACCGCTGACTGGGAGCTGCTCAAGGTAAGCCCTTCCTGTCCCAGCCCTGAGTCCCTTCCTAGATCCCAAAACTCTCCTTCTCAGCCTCACTCCGGAGCCCACACTTGAGTCAAATTCTGTTGGGTCATGGGCATCAACAATTTTCTTCAACTGGGTCATGACGAAAAAAAGTTTGAAAACCACTGATATAGATGCACCCTTAGGCCAGGTCTACACTAGGGGACAAACTCAAACTAAGATACAACAACTCCAGCAATGTGACTAGTGTAGATGGAGTCAACATACCTTAGTTCACATTTTTCAGTGTCCCCACTGTGGGAGGTCGATGGAAGAAACTCTTCCATTGACTTGCCTTACTTCTCATGACCTGGTGAACTACCAGAGTCAACGGGGGCATGATCAGCAGTCGATTTAGCAGGTCCTTACGGGTGTGTCTACACAGCAGTTATTTCAGAATAACAGCTGTTATTTGGAAATGACTATGCAAGCATCTATATAGCAATTCCATTATTTTGAAATAATTTCGAAATAACAGAGAGTTTATGCCCGCTTCTGTTAACCTCATTCTATGAAGAATAATGCCTATTCCAAAATAGCTATTTCAAAATAAGGCATGTGTAGACGCTCCACTGCTGCTGTTTCAAAACAGCCCCTCACCAAGACCATTCTAAGTTATTCCTCCTGGGGCTCTAAATCGAAATAGCACATCTACATTAGGGAAGCCTGCCTCGGACTAATTTTGAGGCTTCTTTGCAGTGTAGACGTGCTATTTCAAAATAAGCTCTTTCAGAATAACTATTCCGGAATAGCTTATTCAAAAATAACTGTGCAGTGTAGACATAGCCTACTAGACCCACTAAATCAAACCCTGGGAGATTGATCTCTATAGCATCGATCTTCCAGCAAATAGAGACAAGGCTTTAGAGTGAAATTCACCCATGTGTGGAAGAGGCTATCACAAGGCTAGGATGCACTGAAGTTGCACTTAACCTCTCCAGTTACAAATTAGATGGTGCATAGTTCATGTGCTGCCCTTTTGCTCAGGGGCAACTTTTACCTTAAGAGCATTGTTTAATTTCTGGTGTTGTGTGATGCAATTACATATTCTTGGTTGTGTTAGCAAGGAGTACCTTTATGACAATAAAAGTTATAGGTACCCTTACAGGAAAATTAAGAGAAAATAATAACCTTTTTATAGAGCTTTAGATCCATCCCATAGAGATCGCCATGCTATAGAATTATGTGGGCTGGTTTAAAAAAAATGCAGTCTTAAGAAAGGATATCATGGTCTGTTAACTTCTCTAGATGCTGTCACTAATTGCTATAGAACTCTACTAAGTTTCTGTCGAACCTTGGTTGTTTGGTCCTTATATTGAATTCTAGATTTTTTTCCCGATATGGAATAGCTTGTTGGGAAGAGGGAAGAAAGGTGTAAAAAAAGAAATCTCTACAGCAATATTTATTTTTTTATTGTACAGCAAAAAAAGCATAACCATTTGATACGTGCACTATAGTCAAATCTTTTTTTAATCACCCAATCACCCTGACAGTTGGAACATACCATACAAAGACTCATATATTCTGCAGAAAATGTTTATCATTATGCCACTGCCTTTTTTAATAGAGATTTTATTTCTATTTGTACCAACATCCTAAAGAGAATTCTCTGTACATATAAATAAAGTTCAGTATTGTGGGCTCATGATAATGGAATAATGGCCAAAAAAACCCACAACTGCTGCCTTATCTGTAATTTCAAAGGTTGCAGACCTGCCATAAACACAGAACTGCAGGAGACAAGGAGAAAGTAACAGTTATCTTCACACAAGCGTGGATACAAAAAAAAAAGCAACTGTGTGCTTTCTTAAAGGCTTGCAAAGCAAATTATTTTCTTTACTTTTAAGGTCAGTGCTGCAGGGAGTAATAATCCTGAAGATTAAAATTTTTAAAAAAAATCAGACAAAGACTAGTCCTGAGGATAAAAGCACAGATACAACTCCAATCACTTAAAACTACCTAAAATGGGCAGGCATGGCTCTAGAACAAAGGGGGAGGAGGAAAAATGGATTGCGATCAGCTAACAAGGGGAAAAAGACCAAGCTGGCCGGTGCAGAAATGCTAGTCTAGTGCTGACCTGAGCACTGTTGGCTTGTAACTCTTCAGTAGGCAGACAATTTAAAACTGCACCGGTTTTTATTTGCTGATCTCTAGGAAGCTAGCATCAAACCATGACTATTTGTATTTTTTTTTTGCTCTGTTTTTATAAAGTTGTTTTTACTTCCCTCCCCTCTTCCCTTCCTCTCCTCTCAACAAAGTCTTGGCCATGCACGAGAATGTGTTGAAATGCCCAACACCAGGCTGCACAGGACAGGGTCATGTGAACAGCAATCGCAACACACACAGAAGGTACTTACTTCAAGTTCTAATCAATAACAGCAGGGGCTGAAACGTTGTCAAGGCAAATGGCAAAAATTGCATTGGTTTTATTCGTGCATAATGAACGTCACACTGAGATATGGGGGAACTAAACCAGATTAACGATGGAAGGCAATAAAACAAACAAAAAAAAAACACACAGAAACCCAACAACAACAGAAACAAGTCAGTCAGAATATCAGGTATGAAATGGCAATGCGCAATAAGGCAGACCAGTTTCTTGGTTTGGGTGCAGGTGTTTAGTAGAATGAAGTAAAAAAGGTGGCATGTAGCTCTAGAGGAAGTGGTTCTAGTCCAAATGAAGCACAGAACACTTGTGAGGATTCTTGGTTGGTAGAAATGTCCTACGATCAGCTATTTTCTCAAGGAATTCTGCCTTTTCAGCATAAATATTGTCTGTAGCTCTGACTGGAAGTAAAAATAGCCCCCTTCTAGTTCTGGATCTTGTGCAGATCCTAATCTATAGAAATTGGTTCATACTTGGAGATCCAGAATTGACCCTCAAGTTCTAGTTTTGCCCTTGCTCTTGTTTAAGAGAAGGTTATTGGTGGATAAAAATTCGGAGTGGTCTCCAGAACATATTTCACTATGGAAATATGGGAGGGTTTCTAAGAAGCTTGTGGTGCAAAGAAATGTCCATGGTGGAGAACATAGACTGTATAGCTAAGTGTTAGGGGTATGAAACTAAAGCTTAGGACTGTCCTGGTCAAGTAATTTGACTTTAATAGATATAGATAGATTGACAGAATCATAAATATTACATTAATTTGCAGGTGCTAGGTGAGTTTGCTTAATTATTTATTCATACGTTGTGGGGAAGTCATGGAATAAATTGATCTGATGAATGCCTCCTCACGGCCAGAGAGGCCAGAAGAAAATGAGAGAAATGTTCTCACTTAATTGAGAGGACCTATTTGTCTTGCATGCTAAGTAGCAGCGGAAGCATCTACCGTTACTGCAGATGCTCCTGGGTAGCAATTGGCCCAGAAAAGAGCAGCACCTTTAAAATGCAGCACGAGTTGGGAGAGAAGTTCATTTTCAGGTCAGCCCAGTGTTAAAACCCAGGGACTTTTAGCTGTGTTCAGTCCGATGGTAGATACTCAGCCTAGGGGAACAGGGGGTTGAGAGTCGGGTTTGTGAACTAGATTTGAGACTAGTGGTCTAAATGTAAACCCTGATTTGGGTGGCAGGTGATAATGAACCCCAGGGCCTTAGTCAACATCACAAAACTGCCATGTAACCTCTGCTCCATAGGCATCCATGACTGGAATAGCAGGGATGACCCGGGCCAGGACTAAGGTTCAGATGCAGAGCTCTCTAGGGGAAGATCGTGGAGGACATCCTATATGATGCCTGCTCAAGCCAGCCCTAGCAGCATCTCTCCTAAACGGATGCTGAATTCTCAAAAGTCAATAGGCATTTTACCTGACTCAGGACTGAGTAACCATGGAGGGCCTGGAGCCCGTCGCCATGGGAACAAAGCTACCCCACACATAAGTCCAGTCAGATCCTTGCACGAGGAGGGGAGCAGGGTTACTGCATTTGATAAGCTGAGGTTCTATGCCTCCCAAAGCCAGGAAACCCCAGAGACCATGACAAAGGGCCTCTGTACAGAGGCTGCTAGTGGTTCTCTTGGCATTCGCTACTTCAGAGCCATTCTTTAGGTAGAGGGGGATGTGTTCCAAGCCCTTGCAATGGGAATGAACCTACATTTCTACAGACTTTCTCCATGGGAAATTCCACCAGCTTCCCCTGCAGGTGTGAAGGGGAAAGTCTAGTGTCAGACCCCAGGCTGCCAACCCCATGCCCTATCCCTCATCTGTGCTTGCCCTGCTATCTCCTGGGGACTGAACCTTGCAGACCTCTGACAGAGGAGAGTCCACGGTGGGAACAGAAAATGGGAGCCTGACATGGAGGTGGCCGAGAACTTCCCAGCAGCTCCCTTCCCAAGCCAGGATAGAAAGGGGCAGCTCCCCCCCCCCCCCCCCCCCCCCACACACCACAGAAAAATACAAACAAAAGGGAATTTGAGGCTACCATTTTTAGTAGGATGATTAAGTTTAGGGCCTGAATCTATATTTAAGCACTTAAAAAGGGGGAATGACCTTGTGGGGAAATTATGGCCTGGAGGATCCAACTCTGCTACCGCTGGAGTCTTCTGCTGCAATTCTGCTCAAGATCTAGATGGCCTAGGCTCTGAATGGCCCCTGTTCAGCCTTGCCAGGGCAGAGAGGGGAGTAAGTAGCTTCTCCTCCTCGCCCCTTGCATGGCTGCCCAAAACAGCACTCCCTGAATGGTGGAGAGCCTTGTGGGGAAATTATGGCCTGGAGGATCCAACTCTGCTACCGCTGGAGTCTTCTGCTGCAATTCTGCTCAAGATCTAGATGGCCTAGGCTCTGAATGGCCCCTGTTCAGCCTTGCCAGGGCAGAGAGGGGAGTAAGTAGCTTCTCCTCCTCGCCCCTTGCATGGCTGCCCAAAACAGCACTCCCTGAATGGTGGAGAGCACAGGGTCAGCGGGTTCTGTTCCCCTACAGAGGGTCCTGGCTCCAAAGGTAGGGAAGGTGGGGTGGGCTCATGGAGCAGGGGATTGTGCTTTTCTGTCATGGGGCAGGACTCACTGCGGCAGCGCCTCCTGCTGGTAGCTCTGGGGAATTAGTCCTTTTGTCAGCAGGGCACCTCCTTCAGGCTGATATCTCCCCCATCCATGCTCCACGCTCCTAGTCTGGAACCGCAATGCTACCTGATTGCGGCATCCTCTCCAGGATACTGCCTTCCAACAGCGCCCACTCCAATGGTCTCTCGCTGCCTTCCAGGGGTTATTGGCAGCCCTTTGTCTAGCACCTGCCATCAGGGCCAGCTGCAGCCTTCGTCTTGCCCCTCACTTCAGGGGCAAGCCACAGTCTGTACTGGCCACATCTTGCTTTGAGAATGATGGAAAAGTGTGGTGCAAGGGGGGAAGGGAGAGGACCCATGCCCATCTGCTACTCTGGGTCCCGAACCAGGGACCCTGTGGTGGCAGCCTTTACTCGCCTTCACTGCCTTTAGTTCCTTGGGCCACTTCCCCATGATCCTTTGCACCCTCTTGGCCCTTGTAACAAAGCCACAGTCTGCCAGGTATCAGGCTGGAACCTCCCTCTCTAGGTCCCAGCACTGTTCTCCCTAAGGTGCTTCTCTGAGAACCAGGTCCAACACTTTCCCTTATCAGAGCCTAACTAACTCTCTCTGCTGAGCAGCTCCTTTTATACCAGGCTGCTCCAGCAAGCTACACCCTGATTGGCTCCTTAAAAGCCTGTCCCTGATTGGCCAGGACTCTGTGCAGGTTCCCACCTAATTGCTTTAACCCCTTCCGGCCAGTGTGGGGCAGCGGCTCCAACACACATTCTCAAAGGAAAATTTTATCAGGGCTCCTTTGGGGCAAGGCAGCACCACACCACAACCTATGGACAGTTGTGACTTAAAGCCACCCATGTAGGGCCTGGCACTCTTGTGTAAAAGCCACACTCAAGCCCCTTAAGGCAAGTAGCTGTTGGCACAACTGCATGTCTACAAAGCACATTTTCCAAGTCACCCTGGGAAATGTTTGCTTGAAATAGGAGAAGGAAGGAACCAGAACAAGTAGGGTTGCCAGGTGTCCGGTATCCTATCGGACAGTCCGGTATTTGAGCCCTCTGCCCAGTAAAAAAAATCAGACAATACTGGACATGTGCAGTGTCCGGTATTCTCTGATTTTTCTGGCTGGGCACCGGACGGAAGTCTGATGCCCCCACCAGGCTTCTGTGCAATCACAGGCTCCCAGCGGTGTTCGTGGGAGTCCCAGCTGGGAGGCAGGATTGTGATCGCCGCTTATCCTGTGTTCTTTTAAAAAAATACTGGGTGTTCGGTATTTTTTGGGAGACCATCTGGCAACCCTAAGAACAAGTAAGGAGAAGGAATTCCATTTATTCATTACAACTTCTCCAAATGAAATACCCCCCCCCCACCACCACTTCCCATCATTCTCTCTTTGAGGAACGTGGTCCCATGTACTGATATTTTTTATCCATATCCAAACTCTTTGGTTCTTTAATGCTTCTGAACTGCTGTCTGAGCAATATCACACTGCCTGCCCGAATGCTTTACAGCTTGCCAAAAACAGAGAGGTTTTCTCATGAGCTCAGTGCTGATCCGGGTCTGTAAAGCTAATGGAGATCTTCAGCCCAGGCTCTTGTGCTTAGCTCGCCTTTCTTTCTGTTTTAATTCCATGCAGTTTATCTGGGTGCCCCATTGCCGCTGCTGAAAAATTAGCCAAATCTCATGAAAAGCAACAACCGCAAGCCGGTGACCCCTCTAAAAGTAGCTCCAATTCTGACCGGATACTCAGGTATGTGAGATTTTAAAACAGGATTTGCTGCAACATTTCTTCCAACTTCCCCACCCCTCGCTGAATAAATTAAAATCTGTTGCAAAAAGAACTCTGACACAATCCAGCCCCAGACGGCTGCATCTTGGTACTGCTGATGCCTGTTATTATGATCATAGGTGTCTCCAAGGTGCAGGGTTATTTAATGGATGATCCCATGGAGGGCATCCAGGACAATGAATTGCTTCTATAGCATCAATTAATGCTGAGGCTACAGGCCAAAGGGTTTTAACAATGCAGCAAAGGCACTTGTGCTGATTACACTACAATGCAAACTGCCTGAGAATTATGGCTATTATATTAGCATTCTAAGTAGGAAGACTTTTTTTAAGGCCACGTACCAATTAGTCCGTCACAGTTGTGTTTTAAGTAAACTTGTCTTTCTTTGACTCCATGGCTTGCAGGAGAGGGATCCTGTGGGTTAGAAGGGAGGCTAATCATTGTCAAATGATTTGATTGATTTTGCTTTGTGTTTATCTGATGGGGACTGGCCAGCCCTAAGAATGTCACTGATTGATTCCTTGCCTACACAGTGTTGTGATTCATGATGCTGTACATGGATTATAATATGATGAGTTAGTTTACAATGAGAGCACTAAGGCACAAACCTTTCTCAATGTTGATGTGCCCCAGCCCAGTGAAGCATCAAACTCTGATGGGCTCTCCCTCCCGCCCAGAACAGCTGAAAACACAAAGTCAGTTGGAGCTGAGAGTACTCAGCATCTTTTGCGGCAGGGGGAGGAGGCGATGATTGGGATTATTGCTTGATATATTTATTTATGGTATGTGCCAGGCACTTTCCAAATGTATAACAAGGACATTCCACACTCCAAGGAGCGCACAGTGTAAGGAATAACCAGTGGGAAAAGGTCAGGGGGAAGGTGAATAACAAAAGGCAATTTATGTACAATTTATATGCAAGTAAAATTGATTCACGATGGGCCGCACAGCAGAAGTGGGCCTTTAAAAGGGACTCTGCAGAGAGGGTGGAGGCCTTCCCTTACAGTGTGTTCATATTCACGGCGGAGTTAAAGCTACAGTGTGACTGGAACAGAACTCTACTCGCTTTTGTAATGTTTCATGCCATTTCTTTTCAGCTCTCCCAAAGGAAAGCACTACCCCCAAGATTTTATTTCTTCTGGCAACGCTAAAAAAAAGCCATAATGCCCCACAGCAAAATGTTGCACTGTGGTTTATGCAGTTGACATCACTGGGTCTGGTGCGAGAATGAGGAATGTGTAATTCCCAGCCCTATGCTTTACAAGCTTACGCTCAGATTCTGATCTCTTCCTTTGGTGTAAATCTGGAGGAAATGCAACCAGAGTAGCACAGTATTTTGTAAGAAAAATCTGAGAAACCCACAAACAGAGTTATGAAGAAATGATCCTGCTTTGTTTTGAGTGTAATATTTGTAAACCAACCTCTGGAAAAAAGAAATAACTTGGCGCTGTCACTATAAATACCTCACATTTAAAGGAAAAGAAAGAGAAGTATTGTTGGTTTTTGGTTTTCTTTTTTTTATCTGCAGACCTATGTGCTTTGTGAAGCAGCTGGAGATTCCTCAGTATGGAAGCTACAGGCCCAACATGGTTCCAGCAACCCCTAGGGCCAACCTGGCCAAGGAGCTGGAGAAGTACTCCAAGGTCACCTTCGATTATGCAAGTTTTGATGCTCAGGTTTTTGGCAAACGCATGCTTGCCCCAAAGATTCAGACTAGCGAAACCTCACCGAAAGCCTTTAAATGTAAGTTGGGACGAGGGAGGGGTTTAGTGCTGAGTGCTTTGTGCTTTATCCTCAAATATCACTGGCCAGAAAACACTGAGGGTGTGTCTTCACTATGCGGTGAATCGATCCGGCAGCAATCGATCCACTGGCAGTCGATTTATCGCATCTGCTTAGACGCGATAAATCGATCTCCGAGCGCTCTCCCATCCACTCCGTTACTCCACCAGGACAAGAAGAGTAGCTGGAGTTGACGGGAGACCAGCTCCTGCCAACCTTACCGCACAGAAGACACCGCGGTAAGTACGTCGACTTCAGCTATGCTACTTGCGTAGCTGAAGTTGCGTAGATTGGATCGGATTGGGCGGTTTAGTGTAGACAAGCCATGAGGCTCTTGGGAGGACATGTTTGAGTGAAGGGGACGGAACAAGCAAGAAGAGCTATCTATGGAGTGTTTTTCCCAAAGGACAGAATCTTTGGCTTCAACTTTGGGGAGAACTGCATCCAGTTTTGGGTACGTTCATCTGAACAATATTCCTAGGTGTAATAAGTTACACAGTCGCTTTCAGTTTGTCCGTAGTATCTTACAGCTCTCATATGCTCCTTCATTCATCCATCTTTTTCTATTCTAGCTAGCTGGCTTATATTTTATCTTTTTAAAAATCTAATATTGAACTAAGATATTCTAACTAATTGTCTCACATTATATTGTGTTAACCATACACCTTCTATTTATCAGTTATCTAATACCTTCTCTATCTTATCTACTTACCACTCTTATCTACCATGACTTGGCAGAGCCCTTGAGAAAAGGAAGCCTCCAATTAGATGCCTGCGTAAAATGAAATGACCAAATAACCCCCCTGAGGAGGGATCTGTGGGTGTAGAAATTGAGATGGACATGGGGGACTAAAACTAGCAAGCATGTTACACCGCTGCAGAGACTGACCAGTGCAAAATCATGCACTTTTACCATTTAATGTTCCTACTCCATTAGCTTCCACGCATGCATGCTGAATACATCTTTTAAATCATAAAAAAAAAAAAAAAAAATGATTTAGGAAACCAGTTTGCAGAAGTCAGCGGCCTCAAGGGGGCTTTCTCTTTGTAGCTAATCCCACTTTCAGAGTCCTGTTTAATCCAGATGCAGCTGCTCTCTCAAAAGTGCTCATGCTTGAAAGCTTCCCGGTTGTTGCACGACAATGGACGCTCCCCTTTATTACAGTACTAAATCTGTAAAGGATCAGACAATGAAATTGGATGGAGGCCAGAGAGCCCAACTGCCACTGTCATCCTGGGTTAGGGCTGATGGAAAAGTAATTTGTTTCCCAGCACAAGTGATTCTCCCGCTGAATAGATTGTGTTATTTGCAATATTTGCAGAGAATTTTCCGGGTAATTGTACTGACAAAAATAATTCTAGCAGCCCCACCAGGATAATCCTTTCTATTTTTTCTCATCACTCATTTTTACTAATTTGCTGATTGCAAGTCCATTAGTGCTAGCAATACTTAGGAAATGGAAAAGCATCGCTGAGTGTACAGTGTGAAATTGAAATTGGCATCTCACCATTCTGGATGTTGTCAGCTTGTGCTTGCAAATACCCCCACCCTACCAAAAGACATGGGTTAAACTGGACTGAAATAAAAAATAAAGCAATGCACAAGGATAACCATTTGGGTAAGACTCCCATGGGTTAGTCAGAGCAACAAGATTAATATGATTGCCAATCATAGCAGGCAAATCTGTTCCTTTCATTAAGGACTTACTTTAAAGAGATCTTCATGCCGAGGGATGTGTGTGCATAACTCCGATTAATATCAATAAGCATTCTGTGCGCGCACACAGGCACACACCCACACAATGAGAGAGGAAGCAGTCCTCGAAAAGATTAGCAGTTTATATTGTCTTATTTTTAGAGTTCATAATGAGAATAATAAAATTATTTCGCTTTGCTCTGGCACCTTTATCTGAGCTTGTCAAGCTGCTTTGCAAACATAGGCCAAATCTTACAGGCCTTTCGCAGGCAAAACTCCCACTGAAGTTAATGGAGTTTTGGTTGGATAAGGGCAAAAGAAAAATTGACCAAACCCACCAGAGTCTGGCATGTAAATTTGGAACTACAGAGCCCATCCTGCAGCTGGATTCATATGAGAAGACCCTTCCACCTGCATAGAGACATTGACTTCCATGGGGCTCTATGTGGATCCTTCCACAAGGATTGGCCTGTGAGGTCGGGGCCATAATTTATATTGACTTGATTCTGTTCACATCCCACTAGGTTCAATAGGAGTCATAGGTGCTGAGCTCCTTGCAGGTCCAGCGTATATTGTACAGGGCAGTATAGTTTTGGACAGTATGAATGTATTCCAGGAGATTTAATACTGTAACATCATATTACACTGGTATCATCGTCAGAAAGTCATATTTTATAGCTGTGATTAGTGTGGTTTTGCTGTTAAAATATGATTTTAAAAAAGATGGTTGTTCGTATAATTATAAGATAATGCAGAGTTAAAAAGCAGGTATAGATTCACTATTGTTTCCCCTTTGGAAGCCCTCAGGATAGTACAGGCTACAGTATTCTGGGAATTTGATGGTGCAGTCAGATAATGCAGGAACCTTACATCTTAGCATGCCTGGGTGTGAGTTCCTGGCTACTGAAAGCTTCAGTGCTAGGAGCACTGAGTTTGCTGATGGCTTTATAATAGGTACAGAGTTGCCACTGCAGGATGCATATCCACTGAACTCAGTGGCAGGGGATTGATTTGCCTGTGATGTTCATGTGTAAATTTATATATCAGCCCTGTGTTGTTCCCTTTTTGCAGCTAAACCTTTTCCAAAGGCCTCTTCCCCCAGCCACAGCCCTTCCAGCAGTTATGTGAAGAGCACTTCATCTTCCTCTACAGGCTTCGACTACTCTCACGATGCCGAGGCCGCACACATGGCTGCCACCGCCATCTTAAATCTCTCCACCCGCTGCTGGGAGATGCCAGAAAATCTCAGTACCAAGCAGCAGGATTTTCCCAGCAAGGTGAGTGTGGCTCCAAGGAAATGCAGGGGGCTGAGTGTAAAATCCACAGCAGCAAAGAAGACAATGTAAATGGGATGCAGTTGAAAAACGGTTTTCAGATCATTAATTTCGATGTGCTTAAAAGTAGAGCTGGCTGATTTCTGACCTGAGGGAAATGTTGATATTTTCACATCCGTTTTCATCCTGAATCAGAGCGAAATGTCAAAACTTTACACACAACAGAAAGACTCTGAAAAGTTTTGATTTCCAAAATGGCGGAGGCGAGCCCTTGGTGCATGATGGGAGATGTAGTTCTAGTCAAGAAGCCTGACCAATGGGGGAGAAAAAGGTCATGAGGCATCTGTACCATAACTCCCATGAGGCACTGCATCAGCTCAAGTGAATTCAGGTTATTGTCAAACTGACCTTGATGAAATGTTTCATTTTGATTTTTCCCAATGGAAAATCAGGGTGTTTTGTTTTGCTTTGTTTTGTTTTCAAAATGGAAAATGTCAAGTTTGAGGAAGCCACATATTCTGTGGAAAAAAGATTGAGACACAAAATCTCTGTCCAGCTGTACTTGAAGCCTAGAGAGCAATCAGGCCTGCCAACGAGGCGGGGCACAGGACAAATGGGGTAATTGCCCCAGGCCCTTTAAATTGCTCTTGGAGCAGTGAGCCATGCACTCTGAAGCAGCGCTAAGAGCTGGTGGGGCAGGGGAGCGCTGTGCTCTCCGCAGTCCTGAGGCAGCTACCCTTGGCCCCAGTTCTTCTGCTCTCGGGCCAGCCCCTTCCGGGAGCATGGAGCCATCCCCCTCCCTTCCCACATTACCCAGGCAGAGGCTGTCAACTCCATGGGTGCTAATACTATCGGAGCTTCACTTCACAAGACCCTGCCAGTGCAAGGAGCTGAGCATTTCATTTAGTAGCAATGCATCTTTGTACCTCAAGCAACGAAAGGCGCTTAGCCCCATTGAAAGGCACTCAGCACCATGCAAGATGAGGCCTAAACTTAAACATTGGGGCTGTGTCTAGACTGGCCAGTTTTTCCAGAAAATCAGCCGCCTTTCCAGAAAAACTTGCCAGCTGTCTACACTGGCCACTTGAATTTCCACAAAAGCACTGACTTCCTACTCTAAGAAATCAGTGCTTTTTGCGGAAATACTATGCTGCTCCCGTTCGGGCAAAAGTCCCTTTTGCGCAAAACTTTTGCGCAAAAGAGCCAGTGTAGACAGCTGAGATTTGTTTTGCGCAAAAAAGGCCCGATCGCGAAAATGGTGATCGGGGCTTTTTTTGCGGAAAAGCGCGTCTAGATTGGCCACGGACGCTTTTCCGCAAAAAGTGCTTTTGTGGAAAAGCATCCGTGCCAATCTAGACGCTCTTTTCCGAAAATGCTTTTAACGGAAAACTTTTCCGTTAAAAGCATTTGCGGAAAATCATGTCAGTCTAGACGTAACCTGGGAGTAACACGCTAGGATGATAAAATCACAAGGGCCTGTGCTAAGCACCGTTCCCATTTGTGCTGCATATTGTACATCTTTTGCATGTTAAGCATGTCCTGTGTTGAAGAAAAAAGTCCTTGAGTCTTCATTTGGAAAATTGTCCAGTATCCACAGGGATGTCTGTACACCTTAGCGTGGAGACATGTAATTCTACAAAATACCTGTCTGAGACAACGAGTCCTCTGGCACCTTAAAGAATAATAGACTTATTTGGGCAGTAAGCGTTCATAGGCAAAGACCCTCTTCATCAGATGCATCTTACTCGAAAAAGCTGATGCCCCAATAAATCTGTTGGTCTCTAAGGGTACGTCTAAACTACATGGCTCCGTCGACGGAGCCATGTAGATTTGGTTTTTTTGGCAAAGGCAAATGAAGCCGCGATTTAAATGATCGTGGCTTCATTTACATTTACATA